AGAGCCCCACCGGAAAACACCGCGTGGGACCCCTGCGCCTCCAGACCAGCCCGCCCGGGGCCGGCGCAGCGTGCCCGGCCTCCCTCGCGCGCGCTGCTCATCTACATACGCCACGCCCCTCGTCGCCGCGGGAGCCTGGGTCTCCAGCTTGCAGTCGCTCGCTCCTCCAAGCCTCTCAGGAGACCCGCGGAGGCTCGGGGCTGGACGCGCGGGGAGTACGGCACCTGAAGGGGAGACTCGGAGGCACCAGCTCTCCCGGAACCCGGCGCCCCGCAATTAAGAGAAACAAGGAATAAGGTCGAAGCTTGATTTTGGGCTCATGTTTCTGTTGACAAAGAGGACGCGTAATTGCGAATAAAATGTTAGATGCTGAGATCAAAGTATCATCGCCAGTTTAACGTAAAATTGTTCTGTTAATCATTCTTGACTTCTTTCAAACTACGGAGTAAACTTGAACGGAGAATTTTCGGGCAAAGCATCCCATTCACGTGAGCAGGGAGTTCAGGTGAATAAGCTCTGAAAATCAAGCTAACAAAAGCATCACATTCCTGGAGGGGAGTGCGCCTTTCATGCCGCAGCAGTTAGTCTTTTCCTCTCAAATTCCTTCTCGAGGTTAAGTGGAGGTTAAAGGTGCATCTTTCTCCGGATGTCTATGCTGTGGAAGAAACAGGGCAAGAGACTACAGTAGGAATTAGTCAGGGAAGACTTCTGAGGTTCCAGCTGTGTCAAGGTCCCAGGAAAAGTGTGGTGGCATCTTTTTTTTTTTTTCTTGAATGTTGGTTGTTTCTGAAAGTTTCCTCTCTTAGTGTGTATTTCTTTAAAAGTGGGATCACTCATATAGCTGCAGTCAGCTTTCAGATTTGTTGGCACTTGGTCAGTCTAAGGGACCCCGGTCGATAGAGCTTGGTTCATCTTCATTCCCATGGTATTTTCTGCAAGAGGCATTTTCTCATAGTATCCTGAGGACAGCAAGTAACAGCAAATAATGTTCAATCTACTGCTTGCATGACATTTACCACTTTCGTTAACCATCTCATAGCCAAACCCAGAGCTACAGGGAGGGGCATAGTCCCTCTGGGTAAGGAGTAATGAACCAAAAACTAGAAAGATTCGCCACTGGAGGAATTTGCCCTTTGTAGTTTGTATGTAATTTGAGGATATGTAAATATCAAACTTAAACAGTTTTTTTTTAGCACCTATTGGTGATATGTGAATGAGTAATTGCAAATGTGCATCTAATTCCAGCATTTCTTGTATATTTCTTAGCAGACATTCTATTGTAATGAAGAACTTCCCCCTCCTTGTGCACTATCAGTGTGAACTCACAGCTATTATTTTATTCAGTAGCTTATGATCCATCACTGTACTGTTCTTACTTATTTGATGTTCAAGGTAATTTCCGGTTGGGCCTATGAATGTACCTTTAAGTTGACCACCGTGTTCTTTTGACATGACGTACATGTAATTTAGGGAGTATTTCCTTATTTTCTGAAACAAGATACTCCAGGCCTATCTTGTACCTTTTCAAACTCCTGAAAAACCTATTTCTCTAAAGAGATCTCAGTCTTTTCAGTGGGGAGTAGAATTCAGAAAACAAGATCCAGTTCTTTTCATTTGAGTTGTTTGATCACCAGGCAGGGCAGACTGGCAACAGTGGACCTTGGGATGGGGGAACCTCACCAGTCAAAATTCACTTCACTCCTCTATCCACATCAACAGCGGTAGGACTGTGCTGCACCCTGCCAGCAGGACTCAGGAAGACTTTGGCCCAGGCTCAATCTCAACTTTATTTCACCTTGTTTAGGAACTGGACATCTGAGTTGTTTTTCTGTTTTGTTGCACCAAAAAAAAGAAAAAAGAGAGCTGGACAAATATGCTGTGTCTTCACTTCTAGGCCCTTTCAGTGGACAGTTGGGAAATACATATTTTCCTAAATATATTTATATCTATTAAAAATGAGCCCAGGGCCCTCCCTGGTGGTGCAGCGGGTTAAAACACAGCACTGAGAATCTAAAGCCACTTCCGCATGAGTTCGATCCCCGCCTGCCCCAAAGGTGACCACATGGCGTGGCAGACCTCTCCTGACCCGCCTGCTGCTCCCCTTAGCAGTGTACTTCGTCGATCTGCCTGTTCTGCTCCCCACTCTGTCTCTGGTGAATCCTCTCACCCTCCTCATCTCTGGCCTTTACCCCAGTTCTGTATGAATAAATCTTTAAAAAAAAAAAAAATGAGCCCAAACTGACAGCTTCAATTTTAATCCTCAGTAAAACACATGGATCCTCCTCTCCATCTTATATTTGTGTTTCCTTTCTTCTACAGCAAGCTCCTTGACTCCCGATATCTATTTACTTGAGTTAAGTCTACACAGTATTATTACAGAGCTGTTATAACCAGATGACTGACTGAAAAATCTGTTCTAGAACAGTTCAGTATTTGGAGTTCTTGTCTTTAGGCATGTGGGTGCATGTTGTCAGTGTAAAAGTCATTTGGCCGTTATTTTTTGCTCCTTCAAAATGAGATATACATAGTCTATATTGTTTAGATACTTAAAGGTTTATATTTTTTATGTATTTAATTTTAGGCTATTTTTTCTGAGTATATATATAAAAAAAGCATAAAGTTCTAAAAGTCCGAACTAAATGGGAAGGTAGACTCCGAAAATGGTCAATCTCTTCTTCCACTGATGTCCAATAAACCACTTCTGGTTTATCAGTCTTGTGTTTGTTTTGCAAGAAGATCGAGTGTATTTTCTTGTTTTCACGAAAGACTGCATACTACACATGCTCTTGCAGGTTTTTTTTTTTTTTTTTTTTTTGTACTTGATAACATAGACAACGCGGTGTATCTAGAGAAACCTAGTGGTCTAGCAAACCTGACCAACCTTCCCAAGACCACATGGGCAGGAAAAGAAAAACTACAAACCAGAGAGATGACTAACTGGAGAAACTGAAACTGATTTTTTAAAAAAAGATTTACTTATGTATGTATACAGAACTCAGGTACAGGCCAGAGAGGTGCAGGGACGGTGAAAGGATTCCCCAGAGACAGAGTGGGGAGCAGAACAGGTAGCTTAAGGAAGTAGACTGCTGAGGGGAAGAGCAGGCGGGTCAGGTCTGCCAAGCCCTGTGGGTCAGCTCCAAGACTGGGGGGCCAAACTCCCACTGAGGCGTTCTAACTTGTTGAGCCACCAGGGAGGGCCAAATCTGTGATTTTCAATGGGTAAAGGTTAGAACTGTGATTTTCAATGGGTAAAGGTTAGAAATAAACTGCAAGAAAAGTAAATTCCTTTCTATGCCTTAAAAAAAAAACACCAAAAAAAATTGCTATACCTTAAAAAAATAAAAAGAAAAGCAAATTCCTCAACTTCTTTTTAAATTACAAACTAACGTTCATTTCAGTTCGAAGAGTCCAGAACCTCACATGGGTCCTCTCCACTTTTATCGCCAGGGTGGGGAAACAACAGAGCTCTAAACCCCGCCAGAAGGGCGTGGCGTATGTAGATGAGCAGCGCGCGCGAGGGAGGCCGGGCACGCTGCGCCGGCCCCGGGCGGGCTGGTCTGGAGGCGCAGGGGTCCCACCGCGGTGTTTTCCGGTGGGGCTCTGATGGGGCTCGGGGCCCGGAGGGAAGTGGGGTGGGCAGGCGGCGCGAGGCAAGCGACCGTGTGTTAAGAGTGAGGCGAGGCGCGGGGAGTGGGTGGCGGCGGGCAGAGCAACTCATACTTACCTGGCAGGGGAGATACCATGATCACGAAGGTGGTTTTCCCAGGGCGAGGCTTATCCCCTGCACTCCGGATGTGCTGACCCCTGCGATTTCCCCAAATGTGGGAAACTCGACTGCATAATTTGTGGTAGTGGGGGACTGCGTTCGCGCTCTCCCCTGATAACTCATGTAGAAAAATAGACCGCATCTCTAACAGGTAGTTGACTTGTGTTTGTATGCATGCTGCTTATTATTTTAAAACACAAAAGTTGTTAACAGTCTTCTTATCTGAGATCACCTGCTGGGTTGTGGACAAAACGCTTACGGGAGTTGCTGTGTGACACTAGGGTCTCCTTAATTGGGGAATAGACTAAAACTTAGGGGGACGGGTCAACTAGGAACCCTGGTAGGCAAAGCAATGTCCCCGTGCTTTATAAACTTAACCTAAAGTTTTCTTCCGGACTGCCATCCTAACATGAGATGCATTGTAATTATTGTTTCCCATAGTAAAACCCACAAAAGCATCCTTACTTAGTTCACTGACATGTCTACCAGATTTTATCAGCCTCTATTAAAATTAGCAAGAGCCTCTATTAATTAGCAAGTCTGTCACATCCCATTTACTTGACACTATTTACTTCCGATGGAAATTACAGGCCAGCCTGATTGTCAAATCCAGGCTATTTTGCAGTGTCCTCAGGGTTTTTGGTGTGTTGCCACCTTTGCAGGCCTTTAATACTAAAACACAGTATGACAGTGTTTCCACAGAGGCCAATCGATATTCATAACTACTTATAGCAAATAGCCCTTGATTTCACTGAGTTCCAATGACCTAACTAGTTCAATTTCCTGGTCACCTCTGCAGATAAAGATGGTCACCCAACACTGTGAGGTACAGTATCTGGGGAGGCCACCTTTAGGGGAATAAAAGAACAAGCCTTTTTTTTTTACAGGAGATATAAAGTGGAATCTCTCCTAGGAATGCCTCTGAAGGGGTAACAATCTTTACCAACTCTGAACTTCTGAGTCCTTGGATAGTGCTGACTCATCAGCTCATCACACATGCAGTTATTAAGCAACCTCTCTCCCCTCTGCACATGCACTTTAGTAACTGCTGTTTACCCAAACTCTCCAAGTACTCTAAAAATGTAAACTGGGGCCAAAGATGTACTGTGTAAGACTAACACCACCTTCCCTAAAAAAGGGCCACTGTGATAAAACCAGATTAAGCCGATAAAAGTAGAACATTAGCTTTTTGCCCTATACTTTTTTTTTTTTGCATTTAAACAGCATCTCCACATTTCCAAAGCACTGTACCAACATTTATTAATCCTCACAACACCCCTGTGAGGTAGGTCTGTATGTCCGTTATAGTAGAGAAAACTGAGTCAGAGAGGTCAAGCAAACCTGCTGAGGCCACAAGAGGAGGTGGCACCCAGATCCAGAGGTTAGTGTTTTCTATCCCCATTCATCCACTAATGGGCAGCACATGGACATATTTTTTACTAGTGATGGTGACGACATGAAGGACTGAACACATTTCTTAGCCAATAGAAAAACGGACAGCTCAAAAGGGGAACGTCAGTTGCTAAAGGGATGAAACCTGAATCACGTCAGACAGACAAGAAAACATGCTGTGGAGGACAAAGATGATGCAGACCTAGACCAGGCATTATTCAAAACAGTTTGGAAAAACATAAATGAACTTGGAACCCACCTGAGAGGTGAAGAACACAAATGGGCTTGAAGTTGAGTTACAAAGAGAGTGGAAAATCCAAATACTCAATCTATTTTTAAAGTAGGAAGACAATGTTCATTCACATTAGAAAGTCCAATAACTTCTGTAATATAACTGACCATTATTAGTATCCTTTCTGTACATAGACTTTTATCCCAAGTCTAAATTTCTCATTGACAGATGCCATTTCCTATAGCAGGTTCTTTCCCTTTACATGTGAATCAGACACTGCACGACAGTTACCAAGAGGTTCAAATGGCAGACTGCTGCATGATTCCCTGCCTGAGCTAACGATGGGGTCTAAGAAACCAGCATTTCAGAGACAGCTGTCTCTAACTACCTCTGCCCAATTCCAAATGTGTTAAAAGCACAGAGAAGCAGTTCCTTCTTTTACAGTGGGATTGGTGAACTTGGTCCAATATGCCACTTTAAAAGAAATACAAATAAAAAGAAAACTAAGACTTGCACTGTGAAGTATACATAATATAGGAGTAGATTATAGCTATTCCAAATTTAAAGTGATACAATGACCACAGAGTTTAAAAGTATCACTGTTATCACCATTTATTTGACAATAATTGGTTTAGTCTACAAGTTTAAGGCAAACATACTAATGCTTTGCTTTTTTTCAGAAATCATACTTATAAAGATTACATAAAGTCTGTCCCTAAAACTTCATTAGTTAAAAGTAAGTCTGATTAAGATGCTTTTCCAGAATACATGAAGGTGGTATACAGTATTTTTTAAAAACAAAATTCGCAAAAAAGTAATAGCAATCTTTATCTTGTTTGAACAATGTATTTTGAAAGGGTTAAACTTCAGAGAATAAAGGTAAATAAGACTGGCAGCCATAAGGAATACTAGTCATAACAGTTACAGAGGCGACTTAAAAAAAAAAGACTGAACTCAAGCGTCTGAAGGGCAGGCGCACAAGGGGTGGGGCCAGACTGTGGGCCGCAGGTCCTGGAGCTGTGTCCACCACAAAGTGCAGCACCTGTGTGGCACTGTTCCGCTGTTTCTCAGAAGAAAAGGAGAGTAGATGTACTTTGTCAGCTGTTTCTTTTGTTTCCAGTGAGCAGTAAATGCCTAATATCATTAAGAAAACAAAAATAAAATCTGAAGAAAGGCAGCCCTTTTTAACCAGAAGGTGGAGTGTGGCTTATGTGTCTCCATTTAACACTGCCAGGCAGTTCTGCAGCAACTGTAGGTTACCCTAAAAAAGGGGGGAAATAAATTGTGAAGTTCAAATAGTTTGAAAGATTCTTTTGAAAATACAGTGTTAGAAGTCATATCACTTCAAATCTGCTAAGGTATGAGACTTTTTCAAAAAGCCACTCACTATATACAAAGGTTTTAAGAAAAATGACTTAAACTGTTTCACGTGCAGTATTTTCCACATACTATAGTTCTTCAGTAAATTTCCATCTAGACCAATATTAATGCCTGGCATTTGGGACACATTCTGGTGAGTGATAAAATATGTACTTTATGTCCAAGTTGAACGATGAATATTTTATTATTGTAAGGTTATTATCACCTCCTTTTAGCCATCAAAACAAACATTGACTTAAATTAGTAGTTTTTTTTTTTTTAAATAGTTTTTTAAAAAAGATTTATTTATGCATAAAAGAGCTGGGGTGAAAGGTCAGAAATGTGGGGGCGGTAGAGGATTCACCAGAGACAGAGTGGGGAGCAGAACAGGCAGATCTACTGCAATACACTGCTGAGGGGAGTAGAGGGTGGGACAGGAGCGGCTGCTGCACCATGTGGGTAGTTCCCTGACCAGGAATCAAACTCCTGTCATAGGTTGTGGAGTCATGCAAATTGACTCCTTAGGCCACCATGGAGATTTTCATTAGCAATTTTTCTAAAAAGGTACATATAGGGACTTCCCTGGTGGCACAAGGGTTTAAGCCTCAGTACTACAAACCTATTGCTAGCCACTGCAGCAGTTCGATCCTGGCAGGGAGCTGACCCATATGGTGCGGCAGACCTCTCCTGTCTGCAACTGCTCCCCTCAGCAGTGTATTTTAGTGGATCTGCCTGTTCTGCTCCCCACTCTGTCTCTGGTGAATCCTCTTACCTGCTGCACTGGCCTGTACCCCAGTTCTTGTATGCATAAATCTTTTTAAAAATGTTTACATATAATACAATTCACACCTACGTATCCATCTGTGAAATGCATGAACTGGTACCCAAATTTAGAGATGTGCAAAGACATTTAGGTCTCTTTAGGATACATTAACATTTATTTATTTTTTAAAGATTTATTTTTATTTATTCATGCATACAAGATCTCGGTTGTAGGCCAGATTGAGGGAGAGGATCCACCAGAAGCAGAGTGGGGAGAACAGGTGGATCTACTGAAATACACCGCTGAGGGGAACACAGGCAACACAGGCAAGGTCTGCTGTGCCCTGTGGGTCAGCTCCCTGGCCAGGGATTGAACTCGTGCAGCAGTGGCTCACAGTGCTAGCTTGATAGCACTGAGACTTAACCCCTGTGCCACTAAGGAGGCTCTATGTTAACATTTAAATGGAATTGAAGGAACACCTCTTCTTTAGTGTAGACGGCCAACCGAAATGTAGAAAGATTCTGAGGAAATTAGAAAAGGACCATTTGGCAACTATGATAACTGACTCAGGGAGAAACCTTGAAGGCTAGAAAGCAGGATGGGGGTGAACTGTGAACAGTGCAGCCATAGTTATATGTACAAGATGTAATCAATTAATTAAAAATAAAAACTCAGTTTTTTAGTCACACTATCCACATTTCAAATGTTTGACAGTCATATGTGTGTAGTGGTCACTGTTTTGAACTATTCCAATAAATAACATTTTCATTATTGCATAAAGTTCTGTTGAGTAGTGCTGGTTTGTTGATGGGACATTTACACAGTTTCAAACTACCTCAAATTCCAAAGCAAAAAATAGTAAGCTTTACCAATAAGAAACCTATAAACATCAGTTTAACTAAAAGACCAGTCAACAAGCACCAGCACGGCAACAATCAACAGCCTGTGCCTCCTAATGTGGTGCAATGAGATAATCTGAGCATTTGTTTCTGCCCAAAGCACAAAAGTTAAACCTAGTCATTAGACAAACCCAAACTGACCTTCCAAATGTCTGGTGGGCATCCCATGCTTTTTAAAAATGTCAATTTTATAAAATATGAAAACCTGGGGAAACCAGATTAAAGAAGTCTAAAAAGACCCATGCAGTGAATGGAGCCCATTATCCTTAATTTCTCTTTGCCATCAGGGAAATTATTGGGCAATTAGCAGAATATGAATAAAAGGTCTATGGATCAGATAATTTTCAGTTTTTTAAATTGTAGTGAAGGGCTTCCCTGGTGGCACAAGGGGTGAAAGCCTGCACCTCTGGCCTGTACCCTTTCTTCTAGGAAAAAATTAAATCTTTAAAAAAGAGTAGTTCCGCCCCTTTAAACAAAAACCTTTCTTACATATATAAAAGATGTAGTAAGAAGTGTGTACAATCATCAGTCCCTGTATGGAAAGGCACTTACATTCTGGATGCAATATTTTAAAAGAAGAATGGCAGGAGGGTAACACTATTATAAAGTCTTTTTAAAGGAGTATGAAAGGAAAAAATAGTACAAGGATGTCTACCCTGGAGGAGAAAAGATACACAAAAAAGTAACATTTAAGGGCCTCCCTGGGGCCTTAGTTAAGTCAAGTCTCAGCTGTCAACCTTAAGGTCTGAGTTCAATTTCCAGCCAGGGAGCTGACCCACATGGCTCAGCAGACCTCTCCTATCTTACCTGCTAGTCCCCTAAGCAGTGTATTTCAGTATATCTGCCTGTTCCCCTCTATCTCTAGTGAATTACCTCACCCTCCGCACCCTCTCCCCTAGCTCTGGCCTACACCCTAGTTCTATGCAAAACTTTAGGCCACAGAGGGTGATAATATGATAGCACTGAGACTCAACCCCTTTGCCAAAAGGAAGACCCCAATATTCTCTACTTTTAAAACAAATCTGGCAGGTGATTTGTTTACTAATGCCAAATATTTTGAAGAAGTAAAAAATATAAAAAAATGTATTTCTAATTCAGGAACAGGTCAAGTATTCAATTGTCATTGAAGGGTTATTAACAGTATCATAACTGACTCATTCTTATCAGTCACTTAATTATTATTAAATCTTTAATATGACACCAATGACCCTTAATGGTGGCACAGTGGGCTGGAATACAGCACTGCGATGCTGGCCCCGGCCACTTCATTGCAAGCTCAATCCCAGGCCCCGGAGGTGATCTACAGGAGCACACCTCTCCTGCCGCTCTCCTTGGCAGTGTACTTCACCGATCTGCCTGTTCTCCTCCCTACCCTGTCTCTGGTGAATTCTCTCATGGCCCCTGTACCTCTGGCCTGTACCCCAGTTCTGTATGCAAAAATAAATCTTTAAAAAAAAAAAAAAGTGACACTACCTTTGCATGCTTCAGTTCTAACTCTGCCAGTTCCACTAAATTTTTTCTGAATGCAGCAACTCTTCTTGTCTTAAAATCTATAAGTTCTGTGAATAAAAGAATTAGTATTAATTATTTAATTCACATAATATTTTACATCATACTCTCTGATAAAGGCTAATATGAAAGTACCTTGTTTTGCAGATTCAGATATTTTTTCAAATTTCTGACAACATACTTGTTGGGATGTTTCTGCCTGTAGAACATCTTTATTTTTTGCTCTTGCCTTATCCAGAGCTTTATTAGCATTTTCATAATCCACTAGTGACCTAGATCTTCGATAGAGGAGATCCTATAAAACAACACAATGCTTCACAATAATACACACTGCATATTTCCAGTAGTTAACACTCATCCCAGACAACTCCTACTATCCCACTGCTGGTAATCATTAGAACTAACATCTATAGTGAATACCACATGTCAGCTATTCTAATTTTTAAAATTTAATTGAGATATAATTCATACACCATATAACTCAGTTATTTAAATGCAATGGATAATGCAAAATTCAATGGACTTTAATATGCTCACAGAGTTGGATAGCCATCTACAATCAATTTTAGGGTATTTCCAATGCCCCTTTCCCAAAAATGCCAAATCTATTAGCAGTTTATTTCCATATTCTCCCACAGCAAGACTGCTCTCTCCAATCCCCCAGCAACCATTAATTTGCATTTTGTCTCTATTATGTAAGTCTATTCTGGTAATTTTTTTTTTTAAAGATTTATTTGTGCATACAGAGCTGGGGTACAGGCCAGAGGCTCAGGAGCGGTGAGAGGCTTCACCAGAGACAGAGTGGGCAGCAGAACAGGCAGATCAACGAAGTACACTGCTGAGGGGAGCAGCGGGCGGGTCAGGAGAGGTCTGCCACACCATGTGGTCACCTCCGGGGCAGGCAGGGATCGAACTCATGCGGAAGTAGCTTTTAGCTTCTTAGTGCAGTGCTTTAACCCGCTGCGCCACAAGGGAGGGCCTATTCTGATAATTTTTTAAATAATAGAATTGGGCCCTCCCTGGTGGCGCAACAGGTAAGAACGCAACACTGCAAGCTACCACAGCTGCTTCTATGTGAGTTTGATCTCCGGCTCCGGAGGTGACCCAAATGGCACGGCAGACTTCGCCTGACCCACTCACTGCTCCCCTCAGCAGTGTGCTTCGTCCATCTGCCTGTCCTGCTCCCCACATTGTGTCTGGTAAACCCTCTCACAGCCCCTGCACCTCTGGCTTGTACCCAAGTTCCGTATGCATAGATAAATAAACCTTAAAAAAAAATAAAAGCATGTAATAGGTGGCCTTTTGTGTCTAGTTTTTTTTTTTTAAAGATTTATTTATTTATGCATATAGAACTGGGGTACAGGCGAGAGGCATAGGTGTGGTGAGAGGATTCCACTGAAGGGAGCCGCGAGTGGGTCAAGAGAGGTCTACCACGCCATGCAGGAACCTGGGGATCCAACTCATGCTGAAGTGGCTTTAGCTTCTTAGTGCTGTACTTTATAAACCCGCTGCACCACCAGGTAGGGTCCTTGTGTCTAATTTTAAAAACTTACAATAAAATTTCAAGTTCATCCATGTTATTTAGCATGAGTCAAAAATTCATAATTTTATTCTAAATATTGTTTGTTGCGGATATACCACATATTTGGAATAATGCTATATGAACATTGTGTACAAATTTTTGTTTTAACAAGTTGTTTTCTAATGTATACAGAACAGAGGTTCAGGCCAGAGGTGCATGGTTGGTGAGAGGATTCACCAGAGACAGAGTGGGGAGCAGAACAGGTTGACTGATGAAGCACACTGCTGAGGGGAGCAGCAGGCGGGTCAGGAGAGGTCTGCCGCGCCATGTGGGTCACCTTCCTGGTCTGGTGGGATAGAACGGGCACTGAAGTGGCTGCAGCCAGCTTGCAGTGCTATGCCCTAATGCGGTGCACCACCAGGGAGGGCCCAACAACAAGTTTTAATTTCTCTGTCATATTACTTACAATTGTTGACTCACATGGTAACTATGCTGAATCTTATGAAAAACTGCCAGATTCTTTCCAAAGTAGCTGTACAATTTTACATTCACACCAACACTTGCAATTTCTCCACAGACCGTCCAACACTCACCTTTTTGATTAAAGTCACCAAAGGGGTACAAAGTGATATCTGTGTTTCTGATACATCTTTGTATTTTTTTTCTTTAAAGATTTATTATTTATGTACACAGAACTGGGGTATAGGCCAGAGGTGTAGGAGGGGTAAGAGGATTCACCAGAGACAGAGCAGGGAGCAAGACAGGTAGACTGACGAAGGACACTGGGTGAGACAGGAGAGGTCTGCCACACCATGTGGGTCACCTCCCTGGCAGAGGATTGAACTTGTGCTGAAGTGGCTAACTTGTGCTAAAGCCGCTAAGGGCAGCTTCACACTCCTGCATTTGACCACACTGCACCACCAGGGAGGGTCCCCTACCTTTTTAAAAAAAATTTATTCATTCACACAGAACTGGGGTACAGGACAAAGGTGCAGGAGCAGTAAGGAGATTCACCTGAGGCAGAGCAAAGACCAGAATAAGGCAGATTGATGAAGTACACTGGTGAGGGGAGCAGTGGGCAGGTCAGGAGAGGTCTGCTGAGTCATGTGGGTCACCTCCCTGGCAGGGGATCGAGCTTATGCTGAAGGTGCTGCAGTGAGCTTCATGGTGCTCACTTTGACCCGTTGAGCCACCAGGAAGGGCCCTCTGATGTGTATTTCTTGATGTCTAATGATGCTGAGCATCTTTTCATGTGATCATTGGCCATGTATATTTCTTTCGAGAAATCTATAAGGCTCATTGTAAATTTAGTGTTGGGGACCAGCCCCAACTATCGAGGTCTGGAAGCGAAACAGGCAGGGCCCTAAGGTGGGAAGGTGTCCGCGAGCGAAGATTCCAAAAGGGGAGAAGGGAGTGGCGTGAGGAAGACACGGGAGTCAGAGTTGGGTGCAAGTCTTCCAGTCATTCCCTCAGCATGTCCTTATTTATACTGTGTAGCAAGTAGTTAATTGCAATAATGCATAGGGTAAGTTAATGAGAGTTGCTAAAAACTGTCATAAATGTTCTCAAGGACAAGGGGAACAAAGCATTTTTTTCTTAACATTTTATGATATACTAAATTACACATTTTTGCGATAATTGGCATGTATTCATATGTTTAGCTATAACTCAAGGGAAGAGGGGTCTGGGAAAGGATGAGCTTGTTAGCAAACGGTTATTAGGGGTTTTAGGGAAGTAATAAATTATGTTAGCAGTGTTATCAGTGACTGTCTAAAGAAAAGTTAATGGTTAATTTAAGGCCAGCAGAGAGTAGTTAGTGCTTGTTTTTTAAAAGGAGTAAATTAAGGCCCTCCCTGGTGGCGCAGCGGGTTAAAGCACTGAACTGAGAGACTAAAGCCACTTCCGCATGAGTTCGATCCCCGCTTGCCCCGGAGGTGACCACATGGCGTGGCAGACCTCTCCTGACCCGCCCGCTGCTCCCCTCAGCAGTGTACTTCGTCGATCTGCCTGTTCTGCTCCCCACTCTGTCTCTGGTGAAGCCTCTCACCCTCCGCATCTCTGGCCTGTACCCCAGTTCTGTATGAATAAATAAATAAATCTTTAAAAAAAAAAAAAAAAGTAAATTAAGAGAAGGTTGTACAGTTGTGTATTTAAGCAACACCTGTGTTAACAAGGTTAAAAATGGTCCATGAGTCCTTATGCCCTGGAAGTCTTATCTGAGATTTGGTTTTTATTTAAAGAAGCCAAGGAAGCTTCCCGGGAGTTTTTAATGCCCTGGGGTCTTATTTCTCCTAGGGCTTGCCTTTTGTCTCAGGAAACAGAGGAATTTCCCACTTGGGGCAGCTTGCCTGGGCCAGGGAGCCACTTTATGAGGCTAAGGCAACCCAGTTGTAAACTGATGGTTGCTCAGAATATTTTGATATTATGATTATATAAAAAAGGGAGGTAGTAATATAAGTTAGCAGTGGAAATTCTGATTTTTCAGAGCTTTTCTTATTCTATCCGGAATTTGTCAGTCGATAGAAGTTGCATACCTTTTGTCAAATTAGGTTACTTATTTGCAAATATTTTCTCCTATTCTGAGTTTTTTTCATTTTCCTTGTTAGTGTTCTTTCACATACACGTCTTTAACAAAATGCAATTTATTACTTTTCTTTTGGTTGTTGTAGTATTAATGAAGTAATCAAAATCTAATCCAAGGTGGCAAGATTTATGTTTGTTTTCTTCTAAAAATTTAGTAATTTTAGCTCTTACTATCTTTGAATTGTCTTTGTTCACATGACATAAAAGCTTATGTAGTAATTTAAAAAATCAACCAAAAAATCCTGAAATAAACTAGTATAAGAAGTTTGCAAGATATAATACTCATACACAAAAGTCGACATTGCCTTTTTTATGCACCAAGAACCAACAAATAAGATTGGAAGTTAAAAACACATTTTTAGTGGCCTCCCTGATGGTGCAAGGGGTTAAGTTTTAGCATTATGGAGCTATTGTCAGCCACTGCAGCATGAGTTCAATCCCCACCAGGCAGCTGATCCACATGGCACAGCAGACCTCTCCTGTCTTACCTGCTGCTCCTCTCAGTAGTGTTATTTCAGCAGTTCCACTTGTTCTCTCCACTCTGTCTCTGGTGAATTCTCTATCCACCTCCCAATACCCCCACATCTCTGGCCTATACCCCGTTCTTGTATGCATTAAAAAAAAGGCTAGGCTCTCCCTAGTGGTGCAGCAGGTTAGGATGCAGCACTGCAAGCACGCCGCAGCTGCTTCAGTGCAAGTTCCATCTTCTGGAGGTGACCACATGGCACAGCAAACCATGTGGTCTGTTTTGCCCACTGCTCCCCTCAACGATGTATTTCATCATTTCTCTGTTAAGCTCCCTGCTCTGTCTCTGGTGAGTCCTCTCACTGCCCCATACCTCTGTCCTGTACCTCAGTTCTGTATACATAAATAAATAAATCCTTAAAAAAAAAAAAAGCTTAAAAACAGGAAGTAGAAAAGCATAATCTAAAAAAATAGAGGAGGAATGGGCCCTCTATGGTGGTGCAACAGGTTAAAGCACAACACTATGAAGCTATCACAGCCACTGTAGCACGAGTGTGATCCCCTACCAGGGAAGTGACCTACATGGAATGGCAGACTTCTCCAGACCCGCCCAATGCTCCCCTCAGCAGTGTATTTCAGTCTGCCTGTTCTGCTTCCCACTCTGTCTCTGGTGAATCCTCTCATCCTCTTGCACCTCTGGCCTATACCCCAATTCTTGTATGCATAAATAAATACATTAAAAAAAAAAAGGAGGTAAACTACAAAACTCTGATTAAAAAAAAATTGAAGAACTAAGTAAATGGACAGAGATATTTCATGTTCGTGGATAGAAGCAGCGCAATCTGTCAAGTTCAGTTCTTTCTGACTCGAACTACAGATTCAACACAAATCCAATCAAAATCCCATTAAAATTATTTTGCAGATAATAGCAAACTGACTCTGAAATTATTTTATAACAGATTTTACACCCTCAAAGTGTATGAAAATGTTCTTGGATTTGATTTCAAAGCGAGTGTGATAAAAGCTTCCCCACCCCTCAACAAGAAATTCTCAGACATTAGCAGCAGGATGTCTGAGAATTCAACACAATTCTGACAATCTATCTGGACACAGCATCAGGTTCCACAGGCTGAAGGCGCAGGACTGCCCTCCACTTTATTTGCCAGTTGCAAGCCCGTGCTGTAACTGGCTCTAAGTAAGAGGCTCCCCTGAGCTCTTCCCTCAGGTTCAATTAATTTGCTAATGACTTGTAGAACTTAAGTAACTGAATTTACTCAAGAGATCATAGATTTATTACAGAATACCCATCAACATCCAGATGAAGAAATACACAGGGGCAAGGTATGGGAAAGGGTGCAGAGCTTCCATGTACTCTCCTGGAGTGCCATTCAAGGTATGTCTCCACCTGTTCACCAACCAAGAAGCTCAGACTCCTTTCCTTTGTTTTTTTTATTTGACTTTTATTTATTTACGTATACAAGAACTAGGGTGTAGGCCAGAGATGCAGGGGTTGAGAGGAGTCACCAGAGACAGAGTGGGGAGCAGATCTATTGAGATATACTGCTGAGGGGAGCAGTGGGCGAGACAGGAGAGGTCTGCTGCACCATGTGGGTCAGCTCCCTGGCTGGGGATCAAACAGCTCCCACTGCAGACAACTTCATAAGCGCTGTCTTAACCCCTTGGCTACCAGGGAGGCCCCTTCATTGCTTTTTAGATGCTACTATTAAAATTTTTGGTTAGTGGGATCGCTCCAGTGGTGCAGGTGTTAAAGTGTCAGCACTATCAAGCTAGTACCAGAGCTGCATGAGTGCCCTGGGGTCCCATACATGGCGCAGCTGACCTCTCCTGTATGGCCCACTGATCCCCTCAGCAGTGTATTTCAGTGGACATACCTGTTTTGCTCACCAATCTGTCTCTGGTGGATCCTCTCATCCCCCCCACCTTAGACCTGCACCCCTGCATAAATAAAAAAAATCCTTAAACTATATTGTATCAGAGATTTTTTTTTGTATCAGAGATTTTAAAGAAAAACCTTCATAACTTTCAAACCTTAATAACATGTAAAGAAGGAAAAATTATTCACACTTGAAAATTTAATTTAAAACCAAGAGATATATCATCGTTAGCAATTTCCAGTCTAACAACTCCAAAGAGATGGCTTTTTGTAAAATAGCTATTTAAGGGCCCTCCCTGGTGGCGCAGCGGGTTAAGGCACAGCACTGAGAAGCTAAAGCCACTTCCGCATAAGTTCCATCCCCGCCTGCCCCAGAGGTGACCACATAGCGCGGCAGACCTCTCCTGCCCCGACCGCTGCTCCCCTCAGCAGTGTACTTCGTGGAGCTGCCTGTTCTGCTCCCCACACTGTCTCTGGTAAAGCCTCTCACCGCCCCTGAGCCTCTGGCCTGTACCCCAGCTCTGTATACACAAATAAATAAATTAAAAAAAAAAAAAAGCTATTTAAAAAAAAAACAGTGAACAATAAAGTTACCTTAGCAGCTTGAGATTCTCTTAAGTAATATTTTAAAAGGTCAGAAAGCTTGAGGTCTTCATCAGCAGACACTCGTGCTTCTATTTTCTGAAAAGGGGTGTAAAATTGGGTGTTTAATCATAGCATTTACATTTTACTCAGTATTTTCTTTCTTAATTATTAAAAAAAATTGAAGTTATAAATAACAATAGCATCCATTCCTACTGGGAGGGGAGTTCCTTTCTGTCTCTTTCTTACTGGAGCATCATGTTTTTTTATAACTCTAACAAGAATTATACCGAAAAAAGGTATCAGTGAATTAATGGAGGGACTCTATGTGCCTTAAGATCTTGGCTATAATGAGTTTCAGTGTCATTTTTCAACTACACTTGTACTTTCTCTTTATTCACACCTTTGGCAATTGATATGTACATATAATTTTAAAGTAATAAAGGCAAGAAATGGTAGACAAGGTACTTAACCCCAAATTCTTGCCTAAGAAAACCAGAAAATATAGTCAAAGTAGTAACAAAATGTGTTTGAAAAGGCATAAGCAGATGTGGTAAACTGTAACTAGGGTGGAATTTGGGCTAGGATGGAATGGGAAGTAGTTGTGTCAGACTAGAGTGATAAGAAATCTTCAATATGGAGGACAGAGAATACCACAGCAACCAAATACAGTATAGACATCTTGTTTGTATCCTGACTGAAATAAATACCACTGTAAAAAAAGAAGAAAAAAAAAAGACACACCTGGGAACAACTGAATAATGGATATTTGGTGACAGTAAGGGGAATCACTGATACTGTATTGGCTGTATCAAAATGTATTCCTAACTTTAAAAAAAAGAGCGGTGCAGAAAACAAAAATGAAAATGGACTTTTTGGAATAGAAGAGCTTAAAGCAAAGTAGAAAATGTCAATATTCAGGAAATCTAGGTGATCATGTATAGGGATTCTTTGTGCTATTCATGAAACCTTCCTGTTACTTACACTGAATACATACACACTTATGTTTCTGTTGAAGAAGAATGGTCTCAGCAGTACTATTTATAAAGAGGCCCAAACTAAAGGCTATCAAATGACTAGCAACAGCAGAACAAATAAACAAATGTAGGAGTCTTGGAAAAAAATATACATCAAACAGCAAGTATATAGCAATAACAATGAAGGAACTATACCTACCTGCAATATGAAATAAATCTTAGGAACACAATGTTGAGCAAATGAAACCAGACATGTAAGAATACATATTATATAATACATTTATATAAAATATTAAAGTAAAACTAATCTCTGCTCTTAGAAGAACAGGATTACCCTTGCAACAGTGACTTCAAAGGTGTGTGTGGGGAAGGGGACAGGACAACTGAGTTGCTGATAATGTATTTCTTGATGTAGGTGTTGATTACATGTGTGTGCTAAATTTGTAAATTTCACTGAGTTGTATACTTGTGGGATGTGTGCCTTATTTTTTCTTTTTTAAAAAATTTATTTATTTATGCATACAGGGTAGGTGTGGGGGTAAGAAGATTCAAAGAGACAGAGTGGAGAACAGAACTAGTGGACTGATTGAAATACAATGCTGAGGGGAGCAGGAGGTGAGACAGGAAAGGTCTGTCACCCTATGTGGGTCAGCTCCCTGGCTGGGGATAGAACTCCTGCTGTAGTGACTGCTGTGAGCTTCACAGTGCTATGCTTTAACCCCTTGTGCCGCCAGGGAAGCCCAGATGTAGTTCCTTTTTGTGCATTTGCAGCAGAAGAATAGGGATCCCTGGTGGCACAACGGGTTAAAGCAAAGCACTGTGAAACTCACTGCAGCATGAGTTAAGTTTGATCCCCTACATAGTGCGGCAGACCTCTTCGACCTGCCCACTGCTCCCCTCAGGAGTGTACTTCACGGACATGCCTCTAGTGAATCCTCTCACTGCTCCTGCACCTCTGGCCAGTACCCCAGGTCTTACATGCATAAATACATAAATCTTAAAAAAAAAAAAACAACTATATCTTCTCAGAAAGTGCTCACTGGTATCAAAGGCAGAAAAAAAAAAGGGCTATCATAGATCCCCGTATAATAACACTTATGTATTTAAAGACTTCTTCCTTTCTGAGGGATTAGTATATCCTTTTCCTTTACTTATCTCCACTACATATCACTTAACTGACATGTTCTACAATGGAGCCAGTAACACTCTTAGCTAAGTACCACTAAACAGCTTACAAGTATTTTCACTATTCTATCAACTTAAAAATGTTAAATCATTATATAGGACAGATCCTTGAAAAACAAAACTATGTCAATATCAAATAATTGCTACTATGAATAAAATCTTTCTGCAGTATACCTGCCTCATACTGATACAACTCATTTTTAAACCAGTGTGTCATGGGGGGATTGAGATATTGTGATTATAAGAAAAATATATTTTGGTCATTCAGATGATCAAAATATCTTATATATATTTGTTTCCAGCCATAATCCCTGGCTCACAGCTCCCGAAACCCTTGGAACTTCTTAAGTATTGATCACAATAAAGGTATTTTTGTTTTGTTATGAATGAGGTAATTCTTGGAAGAAACTAAGTATGGACAGTTACTAGGAGAACCAACCATGTCTTATCTCTAACCCTGAGGTGAAAGAGAAGAGGGGCAGGTCACTGAGTTCAACTGTTAATGGCCAATTATTCATTCATTTCTATGTAGTAAAGTCTCCATAAAAAATCCAAAAGGAACATGTTAACAAAGCTTCTGGATTTAAGTGAATGCACAGAGGTCCTGGGATAGTAATGTTCCTGGAAAGAACATGGAGGCTTGCACAGGGCTCTGATAGGGCAAGTATCACTGCCCTATGCAATGTCTCTTCCACCTGGCTGTTCCTGAGTAATGTACTTTTACAATAAATCAGTGATCTATTAAATAAAATATTTATCTGAGCAGCTGTAGCAATTTAACTAAACTTGAGGAGGAAATCCTAGGATTTCCTGGGCTTGGGACTGGTTTTTGGGGTGGATTAAGGTCTTGGAAGACTGAGTCTTTTATCTGTGAGGTTTCATACTATTTCCAGGTAGACTGTCAGAACTGAGTTAAATAGTGGGATACCTAGGTGATGTCTGGAGAATTGCTGCTTGTGTGGGGATTTTCTCCGCCTACCAACTGTATCAGAATGTGACCAGATAGCCATTCCAGGATCAGAAACAAGTCTCAGGCTCACCCTGGTGGCACAACGGGTTAAAGCACCGCATTATGAAACTCTCCGAAGCCACTGCAGCACAAGTTCAATCCCGTGCCAAGGAGCTGACCAGCAAGGCGTGGCAGGCCTCTCCTGACCCAACCACTGCTCCCCTCAGCAGTGTATTTCAGTATATCTGCCTTTTCTGCTCCCCACTCTTGTCTCTGATGAATCCTCTCACCATCCCTGCACCTCTGGCCTGTACCCCAGTTCTGTAAGCATAAATAAATAAATCTAAAAAAAAAAAAGTCTCAATAAAGCAATAATGAATCTAAAACTATCTTTTAAGTTTACAAAGCCCCCAAAAGGATTGTTCTTCATACAAATAAATGCAGTCTCCATAATGTTTTCTGATCAAGAACATGAACTTTTTTTTTTAAGAACATGAACTTTTATAGAAATAATGAAATTTCTGGAAATATTTCAGATTTTCAAATCTAAATCTCTTTATCCTTCTGAAGGATAGCTCATCTTCCTTAATAAATCAAGCAACAAGTTAATACTATTATATGCAGATTTAGAAATCCCTCAAAGGTTAAATAGTACTTACTCTTGTTTTATCAAACAGTTCTGAAACTTTGAGAAAAAACCTGGAAAGGAAAAATAACCCATCAGAAGCTACCTCTGAAATGTTTCCATTTTAAATATTCATAGAATATGCCCCCAAACCATACTAACAATGAATATTCCTTTCTTACTACAGTACTATTTGTTTTGTTCAATGCATACTTCATTTTACCCCAACAATCTGTTCTTCTACTCTTGTAACATAAATTGAAATCTATTGTTACAGAAAATCTTGTTTCAAGATGACAATCTAGGTCTACACTAAACTTAAAATTATTTGGCATTCTTTAGCCTATAGCTTCAAAATTAGTAGTAAGTATTTAACACTCAATTCCAAAGAGACAAAAGGCTGACTTAAAAGGATAACACTGAGATTGGAACAGCTGTTAATGTTACCTCAGAGTTCTACTTTAAACATGTACAAATTAGAGTTGCTTGGTTTTGAGAAACAAGAGAAATAACTATTTTCTATCTCAAAATTGTACTTCACTTTTAACTATCTCTCTACCATTGCCACCAAGTAAAAAACCCCAAACAATGCCAGACTATTAAAGGATAGTTTGTAAAATGTCATTAAAGATGACATTTTATTTGGCTTAGGAAAAAAAATATTGAGAGCAAAGTTATAATTCTGTGAACTTGGCTTGACTGAAGAGAATCTGCTTTAACAGGTTTATGTCAAAAAGCACATGGCAAGGCTGACTTATTTTCCTAACAAAAATTTAAGAACTTACTCTGGGAAAGTAGCATGTTGGCTAGTATAAACTATGGTATCTTGCTTTGCAGAAAAAGTTGGAACATAGATTTTTACTGAGACCAGAAAAAAACTCAGGGATGTGATTTGGCGAAAGCAATGGACGTTTTAGTTTTCTAACTTAAAATGTTTTTAAAAACATGTTTGAATTACTTTTCAATGAACAGCAAGATTTAAACAATATTACAGGGGCAATTAAAATTCACTTCATTTGATTTAAAGAGGAAAACCAGGATAAAGTAAATAAGACAGCAGTGTAACCAAACTTCCAAATGACTTTTTCCTATACTAACATGCACATTTTCCCAACCAGTCACCCACCGTAGGACTGCTAAAAGTCCTAAGACTAACTAAACAATAAAGACTAGAATAAGCCTTTTTTAAAAGTGTCAATGAATTTTTTTTTAAAAGTTTAACATTTATTTTAAGTCAATTTAGCCTCAATGAAATGTCTACATACACATATACAGTAATTGTAAAATAGCATCTTATCTATGATAAACTTATTAAAACCTAAGAATTTTGACAAAAATTGTCTCTCCTCCTGCCCAACATACAAACAAGCACATTTTCACTAAATAAAATTTTGTAAATGTTAAAATTATATGAGTCCATTTTTATTTCTCTTGTCTAAAAGAAAAGTGGGAGAAAAAAATGACACTGGACTAAGTTTATAAAGACGCTCCTCATTATCAAAGTGTTTTGACAAAAACACTTCCAAAATGCATAATGGGTCATAAGTACTGGTATGTGTCCAGGCCGCCAATAATATTTTGTTTCATTTGTATTTTAAAAATTTTATTTATATTTTTAAATAGGGCATTTTTTAAAGATCTATCTATCTATAAGGAAATTTTATTAAGGAAAGGTAAAGAAAGAAAAGAGAAATGCCTGCATAAACCAGGCAGGCAGAGTTGCTATATTTAAAGTTTTAAGCTAGAATTCTTACTTGCATATATCTGTGGAATCCTGAGTTCCTAAAGCATATAATGAAGAACCAATTCTATTGTAATCATCTGCAGCACCTACAAAAAAAAATTTGATATATTTATTCATTGATTCAGAAATACTTATAGAAACCTTTCTGTCAAATAATGAATATATAACCATACCCCAAGTCTACAGTAAAGGGAATGACACAAACAACTATACTACCTACATCATGATGATGATTTTATCAAAAGTAGTTACAAGCTATTTTGGGAACAGGGGGAACAAATGACTCCACTCAGTTAATTCTAGGAAGGACTTACAAACATCTCAGAATGAATAGGAACTTGTGGGATGTGAATATTTACTAAGACGACATAAAAGAACACAGTGTTTTCAGAGTCTCATGGGACTGTGGCACTGCAGAGTACAGTGGTAAGAGGTCAGAGTTGAAAGATAGGAAAATAAATTGGAAGCATATTCAGGAAAAAGTTGTCTTTGCAGGGCCTCCCTGGTGATACAAGGGGTTAAGTCTCAGCACTATCAAGGTATCAGCAGCCACTACAGCATGAGTTCAATCCCCAGCCAGGGTGCTAACCCACATGGCACAATAGACTTCTCCTGTCTCGCCCACTGCCTCTCAGCAGTGTATTTCAGTAGATCCATTTATTGTTTCCCACTCTGCTTCTGGTGAATCCTCTCATTTCCTGCACCTCTGGTCTATACCTCAGTTGCATGAAGAAGTAAAATGAATCTTAAAAAAAAAAAAAAAGAAAACCTCAGAAGACTAGGAATTTAAAGTAACTTTCTCAACCTCATATAAGGCATCTAAGAAAAAAATCTACATTTAACAATGGGGCAGGGGAAAAGTCTAAGTAAGAACCAAAACTTTAAAAAAAAATTATTTATTTATGCATACAGAACTGGGGTACAGGCCAGAGGTATAGGGGCGGTAAGAGGACCCATCAGAGACAGAGTGGGGAGCAGAAAAGGCAGAATGACAAAATACACTGCTGAGGGGAGCAGTGGAGGAGATAGCAAGAGGTCTGCTGTGCCATGTGGGTCATCTCCTTGGCGGGGGATCAAACTTGCACTGAAGAGGCTGTAGCTAGCTTCTTACTGCTGCACTTTAATCTTTTGCATCACCAGGGAAGGCCCAGAAATATAACTTTTTATTAGCAATCAATCATCACACAGAAAATCCTAAGGAACATACAAAGTAGTTACCAGAATAAAGTGAGTTTATTTAGTAAGGTTGCAAGATTTAAGATCAACATTGAGACCCTCCATGGTGGCGCAACGGGTTGGGACACAGCACTGCCAGCTAGCCTAAACCACTTCAGTGCAAGTTCAGTCCCAGACCCTGGAGGTGATCCACATGGTGCAACAGACATCTTTAGTCTCACTGCTGTTCCCCTCAGCAGTGTACTTCATTGACCACCCTGTTCTGTTCCCCCCTCTGTCTCTGGTGAATCCTCTCACTGTCCTCACTGTCCCTGCACCTCTGGCCTATACCCCAATTCTGTATGCATAAATAAGTAAAATTAAAAAAAAAAAAACATTGAAAATATACTATTTCTCTGTATAGGCATAGAATTGAATGCTGAAAAGTAAAAATCACAAAATTTACTACTGTATCACTTATAATCAGAAATCACTATAATTAAAGATATATAAGACCTATCCAATGGAATCTATAAAACACACTGCTGAGAAAATTTTACAGATCTAACCAACTAGATACACTAGATACATATTTATCTATTAGAAGAATCAATACTGTTCAATTAATCTTTCCCAAATTTAACTACAGATTCTACACAATCCCCTAATTAAAACCCCAGTGGGAGGCTTCCCTGGTGGCACAAGGTGTTGGAGTGCAGAACTACGAGGCTATCTACAACCACTGCAGCATGAATTCGATCCCGGCCAGGGAGATGACCCACATGGCTCAGCAGACCTCTCCTGTCCTGCCCACTGCTCCCTTAGCAGTGTATTTCACCCAAACCACCTGTTCTGCTCCCCTCTCTGTCTTTGGTGAATCCTCTCATCCCCTGCATCTCTGGCCTGTACCCCAGTTCTTGTATGCATAAATAATCTTAAAACAAACAAAACCCAGTAGGCATTTTTGTAGAAAGTGACAAGCTAATGCTAAAATCTAATGAAAATGTAAAGAACCTAGGTGGTCCAAAACTTTGATCAAGAGAGAATACATTTGGAAGATTTAGACAAGAAAAGATTTCCAGCCTCATTAGTCATTTGGAAAATATAGCTAAAACCACACTGAGACGCCATTAGTGAGTGACCTACTATATTGGCTAAAATGAAAAATGGACAATTCATGTTGGCAAGAAAGTGGAAAAACTGGAACTAATGTATAGCTGGTAAGAATGACATGACTATTTTGGAAAAAAAACTAGGCAGATTTTTATAAAGTTAAATATATACCTACAACAGTAGTATACTTAAACCAATATTCCAGGTATTGCCAAGAGAAATGAAAGCATATGTCTACACAAAGGATTATGTATAGCTGGTGCATGTCACCTTTATTAGTAACAGTCAAAAGCTAGCCAACAACCCAAATGTTCACCATACAATTACTACCACTCAGTAACAAAAGGAATTAATGGACACATACAACAACACTGGTAGGCTTCAGAAAATTTTGAGTTTCAAAGCCAGGTAATAAAGAATATATATTATATGCTCCATTTATATAACATTCTAGAAATTGAAAACTAACCTACAGAGAAAGAAATACAGTGATAATGGTGGAAGGGAGGGATTACAAAGGGCCACAGGAAATTTGGTGGTGATAGGTCATTATCTTGACTATATTATTTCACACATTTTGTCTAAACTTATCAAATGGTTTATCTTGAAAATTATAGTTTATTATTATCAATTATACCTCATTTAGCTTGCAGTTTGAAGGATCTTTTACATTTATGATGATTCTGTAACATCATGCATTTGATCATATAGAAAATACTGGTTCAACGAATTATGCAGCTCTTCTAAATGCAGACATAATTCAGCAAGTAATTATCACAAAAACTACATTCACTAATATGGTCAGCAATCTCCTCACACATGTCTTTAACTATTGGGAAGCAAGCTCACTGAAGTTCCAGTGCCATGACAATGTCACACTATCCCCTCTGTATGAAAACAGTTTTGACATAATAGACTTGCTAAAAGGAATTGGGCCAAGTTTTCATAGACCACAGTTTGAGAATCCCTGCTCTATATTAAGACTTTTACAAACTATAAATAACATAACTTTGTAATTATTCCATTTTTCAAAATGTAAGCATTAGGCAGAGAAAAAGCTTACTTTTGTGGGATCTTGTCATCCTATCAGATTTAGCAGATGCATCCTTAACTCGGTTATGATATTCTAAAAGGAATGTTCGTTCATGCTCAAAGAAATCATCTACATCCTATGGGATCAAAAGAAAATATGAATTTCTTACATTTATTTGCTTTAGTCCAATTGTAAGTTACTTTATAACTATAATAAAAAAAAGATTATCAGTAAAACAGCATAGCTATCCTCTCATAATTAGTTGTTACACTGATTTCACCAAGATCAGACTTTCTAATGGGCATGTATTTCTACTTATTAAGTAAGAAGTCTCCCATGGTTTTGTAGCTGAAGGCTCAGAGCACTCCATATGGTTCATTTCACATGCTGAACTCTAAAACATGTTCTTACTAGAGGTTCTTGCCTCTTCAACAAATATATTATGTAAAGGAGACTGATCAATTTCTCTTGACCTATTATTACACAGTCTACAGGCCAAACCTGAAGGCTGTTGGGCCTTAGTCATTAGGGCTTTCTGACTGCTTTGGGAAATGTGGTGAAACTAGCTTTCTGGGAACAATTACCATATTAAACAATGCCTACAATCTTTTTCTGGAGCAAAGATAAATAAACAATAAAGTAAAAATCACTAACAATACTTTTTCCCCTTCTGAAACAACAACTGTTTTAGAAGTATCACCTGTTTTATAAGTTTCACCTAACACTTTTGAAACCTGTATCAATAAAATGCAAGAAGCACATCAGTACTAACAAAATACATTTGAAGTCTATTCAGTTTTCTTAAGTGTAAAAATGAGGGAAAAAAAACTTGCGGTTATAGGCACAACTGAGGAAATGTGCTGTCAACACTAAATGTTCAAAAACTGTATTTGAGAGCTATTACTTTACTAATTATTAATATTATTCTTAATAGTCCTACTGATTGTCATATATTATTATAAAAATAGTAAGGTAAATTGAGCCCCCAATATAAAGCAGTCACAGCACATGCACTGACAAGGAATCAGCTGACCTGTCTCCAAAAAAATCAACATAAAATCAAATAAATAGCACTTCACACATAAGTTTTGTTGCAGACACATCTCTAAAAACAGGTAGTGATGCAAAGCATTATTTCTTTCTTAGCTTTTGCTTGATAATGTTTGATTTTTTATAATGTTTAATTATATATATATATATTTTTTTAATGGTAAGAGTCTTCAGATAATTCAATTGCTATACCTTTCTTAGAGTATCATTAAGAACAACTTAGATGTTCTTTAGGGAAATACTTAACTTTGTACAAACAGAGGCAGCCCCTTACTGCCACACTGTGCAGCTCTCTGAGGAACTCATCTCGAGAGACCTTACACGCATATGTAGGATACTCCATCTTCCACACTGACCTCCCCCTAAGCCTTCCCTATGCACAGATGCTCATGGGTCACCAGTGCAACTGGTGCTAGAGGATAAGCTCAGTAAAGAAAGCCACACAAGACCTGAAGAAGGTTTGGGATTTCAGCAGGCCAATATGGGATGCTAGATAACTGGAGCATGGTCTGGTTTGGCGGCAAGGGGGATGGGTGCAAATCCCCTGTAGGCCTCTCACTCCTTAGCAAAGGGAGCTCTCTAAAGAGTGGAACCAAAGGCAAAAGGCCCAGTTTTCCAGGCCTAAGAATTCTACTGTACAAACATCTTTTACTCCAATATAAATTGCACATCTGACTCTCAATCTTCCTTTTTAAATTAAAGAAAGAAAATCTCACACCAATCTATTAATTATATAAAATCTTACCTTTACTCCTGAAACAATTACTCCATCTGCTGATTTAACCATATTTTTAAAGAAATCTTCAAGTTTTTCTTTTTTATTTTTTCCTCGTACACTCAACTGAAAGGTAAATTTAAGTTAGTTTTTCTTAAAAAACAAAACAAAAAAAAATGCAATTCAGTGCCTTCATTATTTAGTCTGTGATAGCAAAATGACAATCTCAAAATGATCCTATTTTTTAACATGGTAATTTCATAATACTTATCAGTAACTCAGAGGAATTTTATCTCACTTCAAAAGATTCAGATTCAGCAGATCTACAACAAGGTCTAGAAATGTCAAATTTTATAAGCATATGTGATAATTCCATTACCATACTATCAAAAATCACTATACAATATAAATGCAACTGAAGGTTAATTCTGGAATCCCTAAAATGTGACATTTATTAGAGACAATCTATCATCAAGTGACTACCTGCAAGTTATTCACTCTGAACTCAAATAAGTTATCATCTCTTGTCCATTTTGGGGGATCAGCAACTTACAGTATAAATAACACACAAAAAAGAGACTAAAAGGGGCTGCCCTTATGGCATAGGGGTTAAAGTCTGTCTTAGTGCTATCACTTTATCAACAGCTGCTAACATGAGTTTGATCCCTGGCCATGGAGCTAGCCCACATGGTGCTACCCACATGGTCCTGTCTCATCCACTATTCCCCTTAGCAGTGTATTTCGGTAGATAAATCTGTTCTACTCCCTACTCTATCTCTGGTGAATCCTCTCACTCCCTGCACCTCTGGCCTACACCCCAGTTCCTCAATGTGTAAGTAAATACATATCTTAAAATAAATAATAATAAATAAAAATATTAAGTAAAGACCTTTAAAAACATTCTATTGTATGTTCTTTATTTTTAAAAATTTATTTAAAAATAAAAATAACACTTTTCTAACTATGCTCTGCCTTTTCCAGTGATTTAAAAATAAACCTTGATTACTGCTTGGCCTATTCAATACTCACATCTTGATTATATTCCAAGAAGACATGGAAATTTAAATCTTTTCTCAAAATAGGATGTGCTGCCACACGACACAGGAACACTTCATGCATTGCAACAGTCTTCTTGAATATTGCCAAATATTCACTAGAAACAATACACAAAATTAAAAAACTGCATCAACTAGAAAATCATGTGCAAATTTTTTCCACGAATACTCTGAATTATTCCAAATGCAAAATTAGAGATACATGTAAACAAAGGTTTTAGTTGAACTGTTAATGAAATATAAAAATTCCAGCTCTGAAAAAGACTTCATGCTAGTTAATACAATTTATTACGTTTAAATGTTAATATTTTTAGGTTTAATGAACCCTTCTTCCTATAAAAATCGATGTATTAAAGGTAACATCTATAGGGGTATTTGTTTTCAGCTCCAGAGAAAGTGTATATACTACAAATTATTTGGCACAACCTTAAAAAGTCTATTTTTGGATAATACTGCTTTTAAACACCTTTGTACAAAACAAAACCCAAACCTCAATAAACATTATATTCAACATTAATAATTATTTTCATCTAATGACCCAACCACACAAGAAGCACACCATGAAGAGACCAATTTTTGCCATTATATTTAAGAATTATGTTTAAAATATTTTAATTTCATCAGTGAATTGCAGAGCTCATACAGTAATACATGTCAGTTTCGGGGCAGGAGGGAACACTCAAGGAAAGGCCCAATATTCTTGCTTCAACTACGTGCAAGGAGGATAAGTTTTACATACCAGCAAACCAGCAGGACCAATGTTGGGAGAAGTTTGATCTCTGTGAGGGTAGTCATTCAGTGAAGACAAAAAAGAAGGATGCAGAGGATGGAGGTAGCAGTAGAATAAACCCAAGGTTCTCTGTTATCCAACCCCTAACCAGACCACAAAAGAATCATGATCAGGGCCACTGGAAAATCACAGATTCTTCAATACTGATGTGCTCTGCTAATTTCCAGTTTTCTGTCTTAGAAACTGTAAAAGTATACATGTATCAGCTATCAGACTACTGCTGTACCAGCACTGACAGAATTCGTAAGAGATCTGTCATCTTTTATGTAGACAAAGATCTACTTGCTCATTTATCTTGTCAAGAGAGTTCAGCATTCTGAAGAGGAGTTTAGTAGCAGAGTGAATATATGCTTAAAAAATGAAGCTAAGTGGAAAATGAGAAAAAGAAATACATGAAGGGGAGAAATGACCAGAAAAAGAGTAATGGAGGTGATGATAATGCAAGGAAAATTCTTTCCTTGTATAACTTTCAAAATACATAGAATCAATATACAGCAAATCTCAAATTATTTCAAATGTTTAATGAAAGGGGAAAGATTCTGTATTTTCAGCAAATGCATTAAAATTCAAATACAATATAAGGATTTATTTCCAATATATATGAAACCATATTAAACGATCATTTAATGAAAAGCATTTAAAAGTTATTTTCTCTTTACTTTGCTCCTAGTCTTTTCCCTTCAGCCAGAGGCCAGAGGCAGAGAAAAAAGGAGGGGGAAAATAATATATACAACCTCTCCACACATATTTCTTTTAAAGTAATACAGAATATATGCCAAAAGTTGCTCATCACATATTCCTATGAGAAATAGAAGTTTTGGTATTACACACATCAACAAAAGAGAACTAGGTTGTAATGACTACGGCCTCATAAATAAAAAACAAATTAAATGTTACTTTAAAAAAATCATTTTTTCCTTTCTACTATTTTTTAATAAACCTTTGCATCCTCCATTTTTTATTTTAAGAATCTATATAAAACATTAAAGAATTTTACAGTGTATATAATTATTCTATAATTTTCCTGTGGGCTCTGATCATGATCGTTAATACTGCTTGTGTGGCTTAAACCTGTATCATCCAACAGTGTCACTATGGTGAAAATGATTATAAAGAGATGGGATATCAGAGAGCACAAAAAAAGGGCACTGTAACAAGCACAATTAATAAAAGCAAGAAAGCAACAAAAACACATACGCTTCCAGTTCCTGTTTCATCTTCGTGAATTCTTCCTTTGTCATGGACCCTTCTCCTTCTCCAAGCTTCTGTAGTTTTTCCCTTGAAGCATCAAAGTCAGGTCTTGGTGGTGCTGGTGGGATCTATAACAGAGCCAAAGCACTAATTAACAGACTTCGTTTCTTGCAGCAATTATAGTACTGCTACCATGAAATACTAAGAGCTAATAATATCTTGAATTAAGTAGGCTTCAGGAATATCCCAATTCAGGACAGAGAACTTGATTAGTCCTATAAGTTAAGATCCTTAAGGTACTTTATATCATGGAAAAGTTAAAGCAGAATACCATTTTCCAGTATTAAAACAGTAGTGCCCAAACTCTAACCTATAAATTCCTACACAGCAATCCAGTCTTTGTTAAGAGGAAATGATGGAAGTAAAGAGGGCAAGTAAGAGGAAGAAAAGGTAAGTAAGAGGAAAAGTTAAAATAAGAATCACTACAAGAAAATGGTTAGACAAGAAAAGAAATACAACATCAGGCATAGTTCAATACATATTAATGCTTACATAGCATCTACCATGTTCCAGATGTGATGTTTAGCAATAGAAATATAAAAATAAAATAGGACATGATCTTGGTCCTTGAGGGATATTTAGTTTATGGAAGGAGAGAGTAGTAACAAAGTGTGATCCCATTAGAGGGGGAGGAAGATGGAAATAGGATGGGAGGAAAATTAGGGTTGGTGAACACATTAAATATTGTCAGGGTGGAAGGTGGTGTGCCAGGCAGTGGCCTGAAAGCTCTGCACCACCTCCATACCTTGTCCTATGCATTTCTTACATAGGGCTATTTGCGTATTGTAGTCTTTATACAAACTGGTGATGGTAAAAAAAAACAAAACACCACCATCACCAAAATGCACTGCCAGTTTTCTACTGAACTCTTGAGTTATAGAAAGAAAAAGCAACAAATAAATGAGTCAGGATGATTTCAGAAATCTGAGTATGGCCAACAGTTGAGTCACAACATCTGCTGTGAACTGGATTCTTAGACTGGATAACCTCTTATGAAGTCTTCAACTCTAAATACCTGTCTACCTAGGAATTCAAAACCAGTGTGGTTTATAACGTGTTCTTTATTAATACTCAGGTCAAGGCATCCATTTTAATTCTAATGAACAGAAAAATTTAAATTTAAAGGAGGGTGCATTAATATATCCCCATAGTCCCAAACAAGACAACTCAGGACAAAAGGACAATTATGTTTTTAATTGGCAATTTAAAAAATCTAGAAAGCTCCCTGAACACAGGATTAAAACAGAACCTCAATACTTACAATGTAACCTGCATAGTCTTCATTTTCAACGAAGGAATCGTGCAGCCAGATAAACTCTTCATGTTGTCGAACAACAGAAAACTCATTTTGTTTAAAATTTGGCAAGGAACTCTGTAAAAATAGAGATTCTCTAGAATAAAAATCAAATTACACTAGAAAATTTTTAATAAATAGTTTATTATAAAATATATGAAAGATTTTCAATGTTTTAAAACTTTACTATGAAAACCCTGACACATCACAAAGTAATCCTGGGAACTGGGAGAAAATAAATTAACAGTCTTTTCTTATATTATACTCTACTGTTAATTAGATGTTATTCTTTTAATATAAATCAAATTCAACTACTGAAACAAAGGAAATAGATCTGCTGTATGAAAATGTGCCTAAAAACTGAAATCTGAAAATATATTTTGTAGGTAGTAAATGAATAATTGAAACACAACAAAATTGAAAATAACAATCATAAAAAGATATTAATAAAAGTCTAGAGGAAAATTTGCATTATGTCTAGGTTTTGTCATAAAATTTTAAATGTTAATCATAAAAAGTGTATTTTCTTTAAAAAGTGTATTTCCTAAATTTTTTTTGTTTCAACAACATATTATTAAACTATAATAGTCTCTACTTCAAAACCAAAGTTCTTATAAATGTATTATTACATGTGTAACATTAGCACAATAAATAACTAAAATAATACAAGTACAAAATCACACTTACCTTTGTGTGAACAGTGAATTTTACTTTATCTCTCTCACTAAGAGCATCAGAGATGTCCACCTGCAGAGCAGCATCACTTTGAAGATCTACATTAATTGCTTTAAGCTGGAAAAAGAAAATAATGCCTTAACAAAATTTTGTGTGCTTTTATATAAATTCAGTCTTCAGTGTCTTTCATTCAGACAAAACAAATCTAAACCTTAAATCTAAAAAAAATACTCAAGTTTATTTAACCTATGTATCTTGGGGCAAGTGCTTTGCTCTGTATGTTATCTCAACCAATTATCATTATACATCATTCATTTATACTTTGCTTTTTATGAGTTATTGTGCAAACCATGATCCAATGCAATCTCACACAAAAGGTTGAGTCACCTCAAGCTCAAGTGTTCTAAAATTAAGAAATACTGGTTAAATAATTTTAACCCTACTACTCATTTTAATTTAGAAATATACAATGAAACTAAAAAGTTAAATATATTACATATAGGGCCTTCCCTGGTGGAGCAGCGGGTTAAAGCACAGCACTAAGAAGCTAAAGCCACTTCTGCATGAGTTCAATTCCCGCCTGCCCCAGAGGTGACCACATGGCGCAGCAGATCTCTCCTGACCCGCCTGCTGCTCCCCTCAGCAGTGTACTTCGTCCATCTGCCTGTTCTGCTCCCCACTCTGTCTCTGGTGAATCCTCTCGCCGCCCCTGAGCCTCCGGCCTGTACCCCAGTTCTGTATTCTGTATGCACAAATAAATAAATCTTAATATATATATATATATATATATATATATATATATATATATATATATATATATATATATATATATATATATTACATATATGTAAAGTGCTAGGGAAAATGCTAACCTGTAGCAAATACTCAATAACTACTGAATGATTTAAGTATCATGATTTATTCTGTAAGTTTTGTTACATTCAAAAGGTTGGATATGCTCCCTATTTTGTCCTTCCATTTCGTCCTCTATGAGGACGCTTTTCTACTTATAATTCATCCATCTCCTCCCTTTTTAAAAAGATTATTTTTTACTTATATATACAAGAACTGGGGTATAGGCCAGAGGTGCAGGGGGTGAAAGGATTCACCAGAGATAGAGTGGGGAGCAAAACAGGCAGATCTACTTAAACACACTGAGGAGAGCAGCTGGCGAGACAGGACAGATTTGCTGTGCCATGTGGTTAGCTCCCTGGAGGGGATGGAACTGAAGCTTCAGGGGCTAGCGACAGCCTGATGGCCAGCCTGATAGCACTGAAATTTTTAATGCCTGCACCACCAGGAAGGCCCCATTTCCCCCCTTTAAACAAACAAACATAACACATTTGGGCAACTGGAGATTTTGAAAGGATCGAATCTATGAAAATTTAAAATAAAGTTTTAGCCAGCTGTAAAGATACGAAATATCTTTAAAGTAAAACTTGTCACCTTCAAATTCTCTAGTTATAAACACCAGCTTTTAATTAGGAAACTCACTTAGTTATTAGCATTACAAATTTCATTTATAATGTAAGTGGGAAAAAAGTGCTAGAAGCACAAATGTTATAAGAAGTATACTAAGGGTTCTCCCTGGTGGTGCAACAGGTTCAAGCGCAGTACTACAAAGCTATCTGCAGCCACTGCTGCACAAGTTTGATCTCTGGCCAGAGAGGTGACCAACACGGAGCGGCATACCTTTCCTAACCAGCCTGCTGCTCTCCTCTCACCCCCTACACCTCAGGCCTGTACCCCAGTTCTTATATGCATAAAAAAGTAGTTAAAAAAAGTATAACAAAATGTGAATACCTGTGGATTATCTTCTTTACATATTCCTTTATACTCCCTATTTCCCATAAAATGCATGTGTTACTTCTATAAAAACAAGAATAGCTTCCTTTAAATACAAATCCTGTGATTAGGATTAGAAGATGAGTTTTTGAATTTTTGTGAAGTTTCTCATCAAATAGGATTAACTTTATTAATAATGGAAAAAAGTAACATACTATTTCATTTTGTACTACTGGTTACAGAATGAGTAGACATGCTTTTTAAAAATTAAATACCATTGCATAAATTCCAACTTCAGATTCAAGAAAAAGAAATTAATCAGTTTAAACTATGTGCTATTATCTATGATAGCTTTTAATGGAAATTTTATTGTTAACTTGAATAAGCTTATATTACTTTCATCTAATTAAAAATTTTAAAGTTTATATCATAAACTTACATAAACTATGTAAAGTGTCTAAAAATGTTATTGTACTCAAGACTACATGTGCTCCACTGCCTGATAAAATTATAACATGTTTTCTTTTTCATTTCCAAATAACTCTATGCCTCAGCAATATTGTAAAAAGTAGAGTCTATTTTGTTCTTTGATTTTCTTGTTTCTACTTAGTCTTATCAAGACTGCTCATACTTCTCCAATCCCTTACTTTCAGTTTAAAACATGTTTCCTTTTTTATCTTTCCTTACATTCAAATTCCTAGAACCTATGGATATTACCCTACAGCAGAAAAAAAAATATTTTTGCGGGCCCTCCCTGGTGGCGCAGCGGGTTAAAGCACAGCACTGAGAAGCTTGAGCCACTTCTGCATGAGTTCGATTCCCGCCTGCCCTGGAGGTGACCACATGGCGTGGCAGACCTCTCCTGCCCGCTGCTCCCCTCAGCAGTGTACTTCCTCGATCTGCCTGTTCTGCTCCCCACTCTGTCTCTGGTGAAGCCTCTGGCTGCCCCTGCACCTCTGGCCTGTACCTCAGTTCTGTATGCATAAATAAATAAATCTTTAAAAAAAAAAATTTTTTTTTTTAAAAATTTTTTTTGCAGGTATCATTAAGGTCCTCAAACTGGGGAGATTCCTGGATGACCCCTGAATGCAAATTACATGTATCCTCAGAAGAGGAAGCAGAAGGAGATTAAAACAAAGGGAGATGGCAAAGACACTACAGAAGCAGAGATCGTTATAAAGTCACAAACCAAGCATTTTGGACAGTCACCAAAAGCTGGAAGAGACAAATTACCTGTCCTCTCTAGAGCCTCAGAGGGAGTGATACTGATTTTGGACTTATAGCCTATGGAATTATGAGAGAATAATAAATATTTGTTGTACTAAACCACAAAGTTTGTGATAATTTGTTCTAGCAGCCAAAGAAGATAATAAATTCATCATACTTTTTGAGAATCTTAGCCTTCTCTATTTTGGCTTTCATTGCCTACTTTAACATTTCCTAAACGTGATTTGCAAGATTTAACCTGCTTGCTTGTTAAAAATATAGAATTTCAAATGCACTGGACTATGGTGATGGCACATGGGTGATTTGGTGATGGGAAGCCCACGGGGATTACAACTGAAGATGAAAAAAATGCACAAAATGATGTAAAAATAAACTACTATATTATTTTAAAAATATATAGACTTTCTGCCAGATTTCATAATTATACACTTATTTGCATATTTTTGTTACTATTGCTCTATCAATTTGCAAATACAACTTTTAGAATTTCTAGTAGCTATTCTTCCTAAAGATAAGTGTGTTAAATTATTGCTCTGTTCCATTTCCTTATTATATACCACATATGTTGTATTTCCTTTTTTCCCCCCTAATAATACAATACTTGACATTTTTATTGTTATCTTCTATTGATAAAAAAAATTCCTATAATTTATATTTACCTCTTTGGGTCTTAGACAGGTAGATTGACTGAAATACACTGTTGAGCAGAGCAGTGGGAGGGGCAGGAGAGGTCTGTCAGGACATGTGAGTCACCTCCCTGGCCTGGGATGGAACTCATGCTGCAGTGACTGAAGATAGCCTCATAGTGCTGTGCTTTAACCCCTTGTACCAGGGAAGCCCATCTACTTCCTTTTTTTTTTTTTTTAAAGATTTTACTTACTTATGCACACAAGACCTGAGGTACAGGCCAGCGATGTTGGGGGAGGTTTTAAGAGGATTCACAGAGACAAGAGTGGGGAACAGAACAGGCAAACTGAAATAAACTGCTGAAGGGAGCAGCAGGTGGGACAAGAGATGCTGCAACATGTGGGTCACCTTCCATCCAGGGATTGAACTCATGCTGCAGTGGCTGCGGACAGCTACATAATGCCACCAGGCGAGGGCCCTACTTCCTTATTTTTTAGCACTTCTGTAAATTTTCTCCTGTATGCTTTATGAAAACATGTGGTTTACTCACACATTGCCTTTACAGCTTTTCTTTTTTGCCTTAACAGCTTTAATTCAATCTATCATTTGTTTTTTTCATTCCTTTAATAAGTGAGCTCTAGAATTGATCTCAGAAAAATGTGCATGAATCACAAATATGGTCATAGCGGGATGCGGACAGTGAAATTCTGAATTTTTAAATTTCTATTTCACAGTAAGTTAAAAATATCAGCTGAAGTGTTCATTCTGATATTGTACCTCTCTATAGTCAATCCTATATGCAATTTAAATCTCTTGTCGTTCTTTCCCATTTCCTAAGTCTATGGAAAACAGCAGAAGTAAAGGATTTTTTATTTGACACACTGATTTTTCTTAAGTTGTTTTTAAAAACTAAGATGAATGATGGGAAAGTTAGCCAATAAAATATTATCATCCCTAACATGACACAAAAATTTCACTGAAAGTTAATATGCTATTCTAAGTTTATCAATTCTAGATTCATGTTTTTCATTCTCACATATCTGAAGTAGGGATGCCTTTCAAATAATGACTAAGCTCAATAAGCAGTTTTTTTTAAATTATAATCAACTGCACCTTACATTTGACAAAATGTCACACTATCATTTTATAACTTCCCAGATATATTTTCTTTTCTTTTTTTTTTAAAAGATTTATTTATTTGTACATACAGAACTGGGGTACAGGCCAGAGGCTCAGGGGCGGTGAGAGGATTCACCAGAGACAGAGTGGGGAGCAGAACAGGCTGACTAAGAAAGTACACTGCTGAGGGGAGCAGCGGGCGGGTCAGGAGAGGTCTTCCATGCCATGTGGTCACCTCCAGGGCAGGCGGGAATGGAACTTATGTGGAAGTGGCTTTAGCTTCTCAGTGCTGTGCTTTAACCCACTGCACTACCAGGGAGGGCCATATTTTCTTTTTTATTTAAAGAAAATGTAACAAT